GGCGTAACCTCGGCGTCCGCTTCGCGGTACAACTGCTGCATGTGGACGATGCCCACGCGCTTGGAGCTGGCCGAGAGTAGGATCTTGTAGAGGGGCTTGGTCAGGCGGGCGAGATCGCCGCGGAGGAGCGACGCCTGCAGCCAGTTGGTCACGAAAGTGCGCTCGGACATGTAATGTGGCAGTGCGAGGGTGTCCAGGACCTTGAGCAGCGTCTTCTCGAATCCGCGAGTGGTCTGCTTGTCTCTGCCCAGATGCCACAACAGTTCGAACTTCTTGAAGCTTCGGGCCTGGCTCTCTCGCAACCTCTCCGTCGATTCCGTGGGGCACAGGAGCTGGGCATCCGCCAAACGCTCCATTTGGAAGCTGCGAAGGGCAGTTCTGCCCAAGTCTGTACGGGATGGCGGCTGTATTTGGAGCAGGTGCTGCGCCTGCATTCGATTCCCGATAACCGTTTCCACCAGACCGCTTTCCAAGCAGCTGTGCAGCTGATGAAGCAGTGCTGCAATCTGGGCAGGATCTATGCCCGCGGCTCCTAGGTAATCCCACAAAATGGAGCTCACCAGCTGAAAGACTCGCGTGTACTGCTCCATGTAGCTGACATGTCCAAACCTTAGAAGCGGCAGCATAACCACGAAGGTTACTCCCGGACTAGTGTTATGCTCAATTTGGGAGCGCAGTAGACTGAAAGAGTTAATAACGTTGAATGGCTTAAATAAAATGGAAAATGGTATTCGTTTTCACTCACCTTATCAAATCGAAGAGCGTGGTTATCGAGGACACCTGCAGCTCCTTGTCGCTCTGGGCAAAACAGGCCACCAAACACAGGACTTTTAACCAGTTGGGCAACTCAGGCTCTGAAAGGGAATAGCAATGAATCAATGAATCAATTTATGAGTTGACCAACTGGCTTTAGTCAAACCAAACTAGTAGTGATTCAATCTCTTCCTTTATCCCATCTTAATCACCAAGTGTTACCACTCACCGTTTTTGTCCAGCACAAAGTGTTTGTTGCAGTTGGGGAAGGTCGACATCTCCACGAGCAGAACGGCCGCCAGTTTGACGGCACCACGCAGCGAGGGGCTCAACTGGAGCTCGGCCAGCTGCTGGACACTGCGCTGGGTCTGTCCGTCGATCAGCAGGCTCTGCTGCTTGTCCTCCGGCGCTTCGCTGTCGCTGCTCAGCTCACTGGCACTGGCGGGCAGCGGCAAGGATCGATTGAGCAAGCGCTGCAGCTGCTTGGAGCGCGGCACAATGTCCACGCGGAGCAGGTTGAACAGCCGCTCGATTTGTGACTCCCTCACCGGACACTCGTGCTCCAGCACCTGCTCGGCCATGAAGAGGTTGGAGGTATGGCTGGTGCTGGTGGTTCGCTGCAGCTGAACCCGCACTGCGCACTCCTTGGGCTCCGATTCTATGCGCAGCAGTTTTCGAGCCAAATATACCTCGAAAAAGATCTCGTACTGGCGGATGCACTTCTCCAGAATGGAGAACCCGCGCTGTTGTGTGGCCCGGCTCTCCTCATCCAACTGGAACTGCGGCGACTGATCCGGCGGAGCGCTTTTCGGCTCTTCTGCACTGGGTCCATCGCCCAGTTCCGTGGAAACATTGGATTGAATCAGTACTATATCCTTGGGTCGCTGTTTCTTGGGGCTACGTATGAAGGGCACTTTGGCTTTGGCCTTCAGCTTCTTGATGCTCCGCGGCGTGTCCAGATCCGAGGACGACTGCTGGCCGGTGTCTGAGGCGCTGATCTGAATTTAGAGATGTATTAATTAAATATATAAACTTTTTCCCGTTAACGACTACTCACATCCTTGTCCAACTCTGAGAGTCGGGAAATTGACTTTGCCTTCTTCTTGCTGGGACTTTGGCGGCCAACGCTCTGATTGGACGCTGAGCGCCGGATGAGCTCCTCGTCGTTGGGATCCGTGCCGTGCAGCGAGTTCTCTGCAAGCTGATTGAGCCGCGAGTCGGACTTGCTCTTCTCTAGGGAACTGCCCTGTGCTGTTGTGCCCTCCACTTTTCGGGTCTCACTCGCCGAATGCACAGTGATCTTCTCGTCCGACGATGAGCCACCGCCCTGCTCTATCACCTTGCTCAGTTTTATGGGACTTCTGCGGGAAAGAAAAAAAGATAAGGGGGTTACTAAGAGTCGCCTGATGCTCCATTGTTTCGTTGTTTTTCGCTTACGTTATCATGGGCTGTACCCGCGAGACGATCTTCATGCAGAGCTTGAGCGAAGCGGTGATCTCGCTGCTGCTCACGTGATCCATGTGTAGAGAGAGCAGCTGGGTGATGGCCAGGAACACCTTCGGCAGATAGACCCTGGTGGTCTCTGTGTACATCTCCAGAGAAACGGTTTCCAGCAGGAACTCGGTCAGCACGCAGATCTCCATGACACAGGGATCCCCAGAGCCCACTTCACATGCGTATTTTCCGGTTGTTTCACCCGCTTGAGGATTGTCCTGCGTGGAGCTTGCCTGCAGGCAGGCTCTCTCAAACATGTTGGTCATGTAGCTCCAAATGTACGCTGGGTCGAAAGTGGCAAACAGCAGGTTGGCCGACTTTAAAGCCTCCGCATTGCCACTCGAGATGTACATGGCCCTTATAATGTCATGAAGCACGTAATCCAGTACGGCACTACCAATCTCCGCCTTGTCCAGAAGGGACAGCATGATCCTGTAGGGCTTCAGGTCCATGGGCGCACACTCCAAGCTCAGTCGCAGGGTGGTGATTAATGCTCTGATTAGAATGTGCCGCGAGTGCTTGACGAAATATGGTTCCGGCTCCTCCTCCAAAGGAGCGTTTGAGGTGTCCAACGATAGGGTGTCGTAGGTTGGCGAGTTCTTGGCCACTTCGCTGCCCAGAAGCCAACTAAACAGTCTCCTGTTCAGCGACATATCTCTGCGCAGAATGGTATTGAGTCCGTTGGTGACCAGTTTCACCAAGTCATCCTCGCTGAGTAGGGCTGTGTGCATGGGAAAGCCGAGCAGCAGGAACTCCAGGGTGTTGCGCTGCACCAAGATGAGCGAGTCGTTCAGGCAGACACACAGGGCCGACATCATGATCTCCCTGTTGTGCCCCATTATGTAGATCTGCTCCTGCATGTCCAGCCGCTTGTTGAAGTGCTCCAGCAGGTAGGTGATGGCCGGCAGACGAATGGCCGCGTTGTTGGCCACCGACTCCCAAAGAACCGTGTAGAAGTGCATGGGATTGACGGCATTGCACACTTGTTTGAGCAGGGTGCTAATACGCTCGAAGTGATCCAGTCCACAATCGTAGCCGGGAAGAACGCCATTGAGGAATCCACTCAGAGCGGGCCGTAGTTTGTCACCCAGGGGCACGAAGTAGGTTTCATAGATGGCCAGCAGGGCGGGACGCACATTCATGGCCGCATAACCAAGGAGCGGGAATAAACCAGCACTGGAAAAAAAAAAACTCATAAGTTAGACGACAATAGGGGACAACTGTGCCACTGACCTGTATATAAACTCCGTGGCCAGGCGCTCCGGCCCTGTTTTGCTGAATATCACCGAGTAGGTCTCCAGGGCCTTGAGATGCACCCCGGAGGGCAGGGCGGGATGCATGCATTGGGCCAGACGCTTGGCAATCTTCAGCCGCCGGGGTATGACCTGGTACTGCGCATTGCTCGATATGGCCTATGGAAAGAGGAGAATGAATGTTCAAATATTCGACTGACTCGAGATAAGGGTCTGTGTGTGAGTCCCCGGAAATCGGCCTGTGAGTCAGGCTGCTCCGGTTCTTATCTGGATTGCCACAAAGGCAACTATACCTTGCTGAGCTTGCCGAGGGCCGATATGAGATCCGCCCATTCGCTGGAGTACTCGAAATTGCGCAGCGCCTTGTCGATGTTGGTCATGTAAGTGCGGTACTTGGCCTCGGCCATGAGCTTCTGCTCCTCGACGAGTGCGTCCGCAGATTCCATGGCGACGTCTTTTGCCAGTGGGCTTGCTGGCTGGCACTGACTCTGGCTCTAAATCTTGACTTTCGGCTTTCGGGTCGTTGTGTATTTTGATGGCTTTTGGGTGGCAGAGCTCTGCGAATAATCAATGCCAATGAAATAATCAATTAGCAAACACTTGTTGCTGCGTCCTTGACTTCCAACTCCCACACACTTGGTGTGCTTTGCTTAAAATTTAATGCGCTGCATAGTTGAGCAGTGTGGCAGGCGGAGCACCTGTGAAAAACTGGGGATTCTTTGTGTTGCTGGTTAACCAACTGCCTAATTGGAGGGGCTGCCAATTGACCCTATATCGGGTCTATGTATATTATATCGGCTGCTCCGCTTCGCTCGACTGCAATTTCGGTGCGAAACTAACGTCGCGTGGCAGGAGCAAAATAAATTTCTGAATAAATTTCAGCACTGCTCTCTCTCTCGGCAGAAAAGTGCAGTTAAGTGGGGAGAGAGGAGAGAGCAGTGAAAAGAGACGACCAGCTGATGACGAATATTCTGCTGATTTCATGGATGAGGGCGGGGTGGGGAGGGGGCGCGTGACGGGACAGACACACTTTGTTGTTGTGCCCCAATCGTTATTCACCACTCCACAAACCACTTTATAGTTTTTAACTATTCGCCCCCTTACCGCAGCTTAGTTTTGTCAGTTCTAACACATTTTACATTGTTTTTATATTGCACTTTTGTTTTTGTGTTCAATTTACATGGCAAATTTTTTGCTGTAACTCGCTAGCGATGGACCACCGATTGATATTGATAACCGTGACTTCTTCACCAGTACTCTTAAGCCGCGATAACCAATATGTGATATGCGTGTTTCACAACTCTGCAAACTGTTTCAACACAAGTTTTAAAAACTTAATTTGTTTAAATATTAACCAACTTTGACTACAAGTTTAACAAAATAAAATGCTGATTACCAGCACTTACCATGATAATAACAAACCACTTTGTGACACATCACTAGGCCATGATATCGATAACCAGACCCGTAATGCTTAATCGAAATTTAAAATTAAACTCCTTTGAAAGTCAATGGATTTAATGTTTTCTTCACAAACTCAATAAATTACTAACTGAATATTTAGCCATACTTCGAATAAAAACGAAAGTTTTTTAAATGCAAGCGCATAACTTAAAAGAGATGAATAGAACTGTGCCAGTTCGTGACTAAGGGTTGCCATCGAATGCGTGATTAGAAGATTTGAGGTAAAAAATGTCCAGCATGGTTAATAGTTATGAAACGCGATTGGCCTTAGCCCTACTTCTTCTTCTTGCCCTTGCTCTGACCACCAGCGACTGGGACTCCAGTCAGTGCCGCCAGTTGGTTCTTCAGGGCGACCAGGGTGTCAACTTCGGGCTTCCACACGGAGGCATCGCCTGAGGCCTTTAGGGTCCTGACCTTTTCGCCCTGCTGAGCAATTTTGTCTTCCAATGCTTTGACTTGGGCAGCGTCTGCAGAGGGGGAGGCAGCAGGAGCAGGAGCTGCGGCGACAGGAGCTGCCTTGGCTGCTTTTTGTGCCGCTTCCAGTTTCTTTTTGAGGTCCAGCAGAATGTTTACTTCTGGCTGCCACACTGCTTTGTCTTTTGTGCTGCCCTTCAGCTTGCGCACCTTGTCACCCTGCTCCTGGATAGCCTTCTCCAGATCTTGCACTGATTGTGGGCCATTCGTGGGAGTACGAGCGGTAGCGGGTGCAGAAGCAGGAGCGGACTTCTTAGCCTGCTCCAGCTGCTTCTTGAGTTCCAGCAGTTTGGTCACCTCCGGTTGCCACACAGCCTTGTCCTTGGTGCTCGCCTTCAGCTGACGCACTTTATCCGCCTGAGCCTGCACAGCTTGCTCCAAATCCGCTGCGCTGGTTTGACCTTGGACAGCAGTTTTTGTTTCTTGGGCTCCGCCGTACTTGCTCTTGAGTTCATCGATGAACGACTGCTCAAGTTTGGCAAACAGTGGAGCAGGTTTGCCGATTTTGTGACCAGCGGGGAGTAGCAAAGTGGCCAGAGGTTTTCTGGTATAAAACATAAATAAGAATAAATTTAAATATCAATTATAAAAGCACTTACTCCGCATTGAGTGGCGTCTGTTTAGCGTTGAGCTGACCGAACAATGTCCTGGCCGTAGATGGCATGTAAGGGAAGAGGAGATTGGCCAAGAGGCAGGCAATGTTGGCACACAGACCAATTATGGTGGCCGCACGCTTCTTTTGATCATCGCTGCCCTTAAGCAGCACCCAAGGTTGCTGGGCTTGCATGTAACCGTTGCCATGTCGAGATATAGCCAGCAGGTGACGGATGCCATCACGCAGCTTCGTCTTTTCCAGGGAGTTGATGTAACCGCGTAGCTCACGGTTGATCAAGGCCAGCAGCACAAGTTCGTCCTGAGTGGCAGCCACCTCTGGGACAGTGCTGTTGAAGTTCTTTTCGCAGAAGACCAGAGCGCGGTTCACAAAGTTGCCCAAGTTGTTCAGCAACTCGGAGTTGTTGCGGGCAGCGAGATCGTTCCAACTGAAGCTGGAGTCCTGACCTTCGGGCCGGGCGGAGGCCAAATAGAAACGCCAGACATCAGCCGGAATGCCCGTCTCCTGAGCATCGTTGCCAAAGACACCAATACCACGGCTCTTGCTGAACTTGCCGTCCTCGTAGTTCAGATACTCGGTGGCCATGATGTGGGAGACCAGCGTGTGGCCCTTGTTGATGGCTAGCAGGACACTGGGCCACACCACCGAGTGGAATGGCACGTTGTCCTTGGCCATGAACTGGAAGAGCTCCACGTCCGTGCCCTTGGCTGGCTGCCACCACTGCTGGTACTCCTTGGTGTAGCGCTTGGTCATGGACACATAACCGAACGGAGCATCGAACCACACGTAGAATACCTTCTTTTCGAAACCCTCATGAGGTACTGGGATTCCCCACTTCAGATCGCGGGTTATGCATCGCGGCTTGAGACCCTCCTTTAGCCACGCCCTCGTTATAACCTTGGCGTTGTGGGTCCATCCTCCCTCCGACTTGTCCACCCATTCCTTGAGCTGTGCTTCCGACTTTGGCAGATCGATGAACAACTGATCGGAGGAACGCAGCACAGGGGCGCTGTTGCACACCTTGCAACGGGGTCGGATCAGTTCGGTGGCATTTACCAGCTTGCCGCACTTGTCGCACTGATCGCCACGGGCATCCTCGTAGCCACACCCAGGATGCGGGCAGGTGCCCTCCACAAATCTGTTAGGAATGTAAAAATCAGTTTGAGTTGCTGATAAAAAAAAAACTGATGCACTCACCGATCAGCTAAGAAGCGATCGCACTTCTGGCACAGCAACTGCTCCACGCTCTCTGTGATAATGTAGCCAGCTTTCAGGACATCCTTGAAAGCCTCCTGCACAATGCTAGGTAAAACGAAAAATGGTTAGTTACGGATTATTAGCTTGAGAAGCCGTTGCTCACTCTGTTTGCTCTTGGGTGGTGGTGCGTCCAAAGTAATCGAAGCCAATGCCGAACCAGCGGTAGATGGCGTTGTGCAGTTCAAAGTACTTGTCGCAGATCTCTCGAGGAGTGAGGTTCTCGGCTAAGGCCTTATTCTCCGTGGCTGTGCCGTACTCATCCGTGCCGCAGATCAGCAGTGTGTTGTATCCAGCGGAACGCGAGTAACGGGCATAGATATCCGCTGACAGGACACAACCAATGATGTTGCCCAAATGGGGCACATTGTTGACGTACGGCAGAGCCGAGGTGATGAGCACGTTGCGCTCACCAGCTTTGGGAAGCACAGTTCGCTCCTCCTTTATTTCCTTGGGAGCTGTGTATGTGAAAGCAGCTTGTGCCGCCGAGATCTCCTCATCCGTAACAGTATCCGCCACCGTGGGCGTGGTATCCACCAACAGCTTGCCCGCATCAGCCAGGCTGAGGCGTTTCAGTGGGACATGATGCAATCCGCCGTACCGATTGGACTGCTGAAGCGCATTGAAGGTGAGATCCTTAAGCGGCTGCTCGACCAGGACTTGTTGCACCTCAGGCAGGGCTTTGATCCTACCATACCAATCCCTCAGGCTGTCCACGTTCTGGGCGCCCTTGAGGGTGCCGTCTGGAGCCAGGAGCGACCATACGGCGATGTCGGCGGCACTGGGTTTGTCGCCAGCCAGGAAGGGCGAGGATTTGAGGCTGTCATCCAGCTTCTTGACCAGAGCGTTCAGCACGGGCAACGCATTGGCATCCGCCTTGTGGCCCACGGCCATGTGGTGGGCCAAAGCGGGAGCCAGCAACGTGGCAGACCACTCCAGCCACTGCGGGGAAGCACACACAAATTAGTTTAACCTTCAGGGGTCGCGGCCCAGCATAATTTTTTTTTTTGAAGCCCTACCTCATCCCGCAGCTGCCCCTCGTCCACGAGAAGATATTTGGCAATGGCAGCCGGCGAGAAAAGTCGCAGCCCGTTGTCCAGTTCCAAAGTGGGCAGCACCAGCAAATCCTTGTACTTGGCATCTGCAACGGTCAACAGTTATTGCATCAGAAATTAGTCACTGGAGTGCATTTCCCCGGAATTCGTTAAGAATCCGAAGGGGAACTCACCATTTAGGTTAACCAATTGCATCTGCAACGGCCGCTTGGCGAATTTGGCCAGCATCAGCAGCTGCAGTCCCAGCGGATTGCCTTCGTTCGTGTAGATTATCATCTTGCCGGGATCTGGCACTAGTTTTATTTCAATTTACGTGGCAAAAAGGGTTAAAAATCCAAGATAATTGTGGATGCCCACGAGAAACTATTTTTATTAGAGATGGGACGATCGGAAAAGCTGTCACGCCGTCAGTGCTGTTATCGATTTACTTTTCAAGCTAGGTCTGCCCATTCGAAAATATCGCAAGCTACTGCAACCACTTGTTCTCTATGTACCGCGAAATATCCAAAGTGAATAACTTCTTTACAAAAAAAATAACTATTTAAGAATTAAATTCTACATTTATAAACCTTCAAAAGCCAGCGTGAATGTCGTATTTATTTTGTTTTCTTTCCGATTAACTGAGAGGGCCACCACCAGCGGCTTCGAATCAGCTGTCTCTTCTGCAGTTTTATAGCATTTAGCTTTTGTCTGGGAAATTGACAAGTTTTTATTTACGTTTTGGATTCCAAAGAGCAAACGTTTTCTTAGTTTGAGGAGACAGCGACTCCTAGCACTTCCAAAATGGGTGAACGCAAGGGTCAGAACAAATACTACCCGCCCGACTATGACCCTAAGAAGGGCGGCCTCAACAAGTTCCAGGGCACCCATGCCCTGCGGGAACGCGCCCGCAAGATCCACCTTGGGATCATCATCATCCGCTTCGAGATGCCCTACAATATCTGGTGCGACGGATGCAAGAACCACATCGGCATGGGCGTGCGCTACAATGCGGAGAAGACCAAGGTGGGCATGTACTACACCACGCCCATCTTCAAGTTCCGGATGAAGTGCCACTTGTGCGACAATCACTTCGAGATTCAGACGGACCCGGGAAATCTGGACTATGTCATACTCTCGGGCGCGCGACGGCAGGAGAACCGCTGGGATCCCCTGCAGAACGAGCAGGTTGTGCCGGAAACCAAAGAGGTGCAGAAGCGCCTCTTCGACGACGCCATGTACAAGCTGGAACACCAAGCCAAGGATGCCAAGGCAGCGGCAGACGCCAAACCGGTGCTCCAGAAGCTGGTGGAGCGCAACATGAGTGTCTGGGATGACAGCTACATGGCCAATTGTCGCCTGCGTGCCGAGTTCCGCCAGCAGAAGCAGGAGATCAAGGGCCAGCAGGAACAGGACCGCCAGCTGCTGGCCAAAAGCAGTCTGGACATTGCCCTCCTGCCGGAAACCAGTCAGGACCGGGAAATGGCCGCCCTGATGAAGTTGCAGACTAAGTCGGCTCTGGAGAGGGAGTCTGAGCAGCGGCTGGAGCTCCTCATGCGCCCAGCGCTGCCGGGAGCAACAACCACCACTTTTGGTGGCCTCAAGCGGCAAAAGGCGCTAAATAGCCAGCTTCAACTTCAGGATCTGGGCATCCGGCGCCGAAAACTAGACGAAGCTAAAGCCCCCACTTCGAATGCCAAATCCCAGAGCTTGGTGGGCGACTACTCCTCCTCAGACAATGACAATGACTCAAACGGCTGAATTCACAAGGGATTTGTTTATCCGTAATACAATAATTATAAAAACAGAACGCTGTACCAAAAAAAAAAATCCTAATACAATCCTTCATTTTCATCGGCGGGTTTGGCGCCTTCACTTCCATCATCCGGATTCACCTCGATGGGTTCCTCGTTTATCCCACCGTCTATCGTCTTGTAGAGCACCGCCTGAATGCGCTTACACAACTCCACGTGCTTCCCGTCGTTGAACATGTCGTTCACCAGATCCTCGACCAAGCGCAACTTGTTGAAGCACTGGTTAGTCTCCTCCATAATGTCGTCTCTCCGCAGGCTAAGGGTCTGCATTTCCCCAATCAGTTCCTTGAGGGCATCATCACTGGCGTTGACTGGGGACTGCTCCTTGGCGAAAACACGCGGCTTGATGGGCTTGATCACCGGTGCATTGGCCAAGGACTTGATGTTCTCCAGGCCCGGTGCCTGCGAATCGAAGAACTTCTTGAACCATTGCAGGAACTCGAAGTTGTCTTGGAATCGTCCCTTGATCAGACGATCGATGGGCACGGTTTTATCCAGTTTTAGGCGATTGAAAGCCTCCTGGAAGAGCCTGAGATTGTGCAGATACTCGTGCTCCAGTTTGGCGCTCATCTTCACGCGCTTCAGGTTAATGCAGTTGGGAAAGATCATCTCCATCATCTGGCAGTAGGCCGCACCTTGGGAAAATCATCGCTGTTAGCTTCGTAAAAGTAAACATTTTGGGGTTTTTTTTTTTACCAGAGCAGAGCTCCTCGATCTTCTTGAAGTGACCCTGAACCATGTTGTTGACCCACTGCAGCATATCGTGTCGGGACATATTCTCCCCATTCACGCTGGTTAAAGCCACGGTTAACTTAAGGTCAGTCATCGTTCTTCTTGGATGGTAGAAAATGTCAACCTTTTACTGTTACTCCTTTACTTGTCTTCAAGGGCTTCTTTGTCTTTAATTACCGTTTACTCTTTTTGATATTTGGTGGATCGTAGTATGTATATAGACTATTCAGTGAGCTTACGGTCCAGCCTGCTCTTCCTCTCACACAAAATAATGATAGAGTTTTATTTGCTTAGTTTGCTGATCAATTTCCTAGTCGAAATGGTTTGCAATTTCTTTTACTCCGATTCCCGATTGTAATGTTTCCAGGATCAGTGATGGGAGGCATCTTAACACGCCTGTACCTAGCTGCTTAACCAGGTACCATTTTCAGTATTTTTTATTCCCTTTTAAAAATATAAAAATAGAGTTATGCAAATAAAGCTTAAAGCCCATATATGATAAAAAAAAAGTCCCTTTAAAATGTATAACCTGCTCAAAAAGTAAATCCAAATGAAATGTAATCTGTATTTTGCAATTGATGTATATTTTTTTATTTTTTTTTTTTTATTTTTAAAAAAATTTAATGTTTAACTCTTTTTGGTTACCCTTAACTAATTACATTTTGGTATGCCTTTATTTTAAAGCCCAACTTAGGTAAAGTGCAAAAATGTATACCTTCCAGGATCAAAACCAAATAAGATATCGATAACAACACAAAACCGCCCTTTTTGAAAAGGAGGCGTCTTTATAAAAAAAAAACATTTACAGCGACTTAATTCTAAATTTGCGTTCCACCGTCTTTACAAACTCGATAAAGTCCTGGTAGAGCACCTTTGGCACCTCCAGAGCGGCAAAGTGTCCACCCTTTTTGTGGTAGGTGCTGTGCACCAGGTTCGTGAACTTGTCCTGCAACTGGATGTCCAGGAAATGCATGATGTCACTCTTGAACCGGGCACATCCCGTGGGCACTTTAGTGGGAACCCTCTCCAGGCGCAAGTTCCGCTGCTCCTGGGCGTACTGCTCCGCATACAGACGCTGCGAGGTGGTGATCGAGTTGGTCAGGTAGTAGATCATCAGGTTGTCCAGCAGGGCGTCCATTTTGTAGCGCTTTGTGAGTCCACCATCCTTCAGTGATCGGTAGCTGGGATTGGTCCACGTGGAGAACTTCTCCAGAATATAGGCGGCCAGTCCCACTGGATTGTCGGTGAGTGCGGCTCCAATGGTGTCCGGTTTGGTGGCTTGGATGTGGAAGTAGCCGCTCTCCTCCATCAGGTACTTCAGTTCATTGGACTTCGGGAAGAAGAAATCCCCAAAGCCGGAGGGCGCAAACAAACTGGGCCAAAAACCGGCCGCAAAACCCTTAACCAAGGATTTAGGACTCATACTGTTGCACAGGTTCGAGTGGTAACCAAGGACATTTTCCGGATATAAGGTGGCCATGTTGCTGCCAATGATGCTGCCCCAATCTCCACCCTGGATGAAGAACTTGTCGTAGCCCAAGCGCAGCATAAGATTCCTCATTATAACGGCCACCTGAGCGGGACCCAGACCCTTCCGCGAAGTGCCCTGCAAGATCAGAGAAGGATTAGCTTGTGAATAGGTCTTCGAACAGGAGCACACCAACCTCCGACCAGCCATAGCCCGGCAAACTGGGCACCACCACGTTGAAGATGTACTTGTTGTTCTTGTCCAGGTTGGTCTGGTGCAGCAGATGGATGAGGTCGTAGAACTCCCGCACCGATCCCGGCCAGCCGTGCAGCAAGAGCACCGGATAGTGCTGCTTGCCCACTTTGTTGTCGTCGTAAACCATCAGGTGGAGGAAGTGCATGCGTAGCCTAAAAGTCCGTTACTATCTGTGGATATGATAAGTGCCGCTCTTATCTCACCCCTGAATTTCGGTGGTGAAGTGGTTGAACTGCCACAGGAACACCTCGCGTTCGCGCCAACGAGGCAGGTAGTCGTCACGCCAGTATTCCACGACCTCCTTCAGGTAATCCGTATTGAATCCGTATTCGAAAGCCACGCCCTCGAGGGGAGGCGTTAAGCGCAGGGTGCGATTGAGGCGACTCTTCAAATCAGCAATGGTCTGCAGATAGTCCAGATAGTATGTGTCAATAAATGTGTAGTAATTAAAAATCAAATAACAGATAGCCCCCACTCACCTTCTCCGGGTAGCTAAGCCTATTGCCAATCACCTCCGAACTGTTGGCTAGGTAGGCGGCATAGTCCTTCGGCTCGGCTTCATCGCCCCACCACTGCTGAGGATCCAGCTGGGGAATGGGCAAGTCGGCCCACAGTTGGCTCACATTCCTGTAGACCAACCCGCCTCCAATGGCCAGTAACAAGACCAGAATTTTAGCCGTAACACCCATCCTTCGCTGTCGGCAGATCCACTCACACTGACTGACTGGGATCGTTGCTCCGATTCCGACGATTCCGATGATTCCGACGATTCCAGCATATCATCGTGGGCGCAGCTCTCGTTTTCGTCGCTCACCATGATAAGCGACTTTGAGTGACCACCCTACAGCCGATCAGTTAAGGCTTATCGACGGGTTCACTTTGGACTCCACTGAGACGCCGTAGCGGCTTCCCAAATCGTGGATGACTATGACTCGGCTGGAGCAGCTTTATTGTTTATTTACTCGGCAAAGCTTTCGTGTCGGTTTTTGTTTGAAGCTTTTTGGTGGGGGGGGGGGCCCATAGGTACATAGAGAAAGAGGAGGGGGGGCGGGTATAATTGATATTTTGCGACGCAGCTGGTGTTCCAGGTTAGGTAGATATACCCTATATTTTGGATCTAATCAAAGATAACCTTGATTTATCATCAAAATGAGAGTTTAAAATTAAATTTTTGTTAAATGTTTTATAGTTTGACATACAAAGTTTTAGTTTAAGATAAATATATCTTTAAGATTTATCAAAAATTAAAGTTAAAAAGAGCTTAAAATGTTATTTTATTTATTACTAAATATAAATGATGCAAATTTTAATATTTACTTAGCTTTATAAAAAATTAATTTATTTAAAAATCACTTTATACAGGGTATTTCCAAGCCGACTACAGACAACCAGTGAAACTTACGTAAGAATGTTCCCAGCTTAGATTTATCTGTGTATGTATATAAATACCTTTAGAAAGCAAACACAAAACTGCCCCTTGGTTCTCCACTTTATCACTTATCAAAGTTTCCAAACAAAAAACTCTTCCACTTTTGGTTTTCAAAGCAGATAAGGCAAATTCAATCACCAAGCCGATTTGTTTTAATTTTCGCAACAGACACAGTCTACAGTAACACAACATTACAATGCATTCCTAGAACTAATTAGGAAAGTAGTCAGTCAGGACAAATCGGCCTTCTGGACAAAGCTAACGAAGTCATCGTACAGCTGCTGGGGCAGCTCAAAGGCAGGGAAGTGACCGCCGTCCTGGTGGTGGGTACTGTGCACCAGATTGGGGAACTTGTTGGCCAGAACCGAGTCGGGGGCGTGCACGATCTCATGGGCAAAGCGAGTGCATCCAGACTTGGCCTTGATGGGCAAGCTGTCCACGGCCAGGGCGAGCTGCGAGGCAACCATGGATTCGGAGTACAGGCGCACGGAGGTGGTAATGGAATTGGTCACGTAATAGATCATCACATTGTCCAGCAGCTGGTCGTAGGTGAACCTCTTGGTGAGTCCGCCATCCGGAAGCGATCTAAATGCGGGGTTCGTCCACGTGGAGAACTTCTCCAGAATATAGGCAGCCAGTCCTGTTGGATTGTCGATCAGGGCATTGCCGATGGTGTCTGGCTTTGAGGCCTGTATGTGGGCATAGCCCATTTCCTGCAATATAATGCCGAACATGTGTCCCAATCCCTTGTAGAAACTGGCGTGCTGGCTGTCCACAAACCAGCTGGGGAAGAACGAGGCCAACACCAACTTTATCTGGCCCAGGGGGCTGTTGTTTCCGCACATGTTCGAATGGTATCCCAGTACGTTCTCTGGAAACAGTGAGGCTACATTGGATCCAATTATCGAGCCCCAGTCGCCGCCCTGCACCAGGAACTTATCGAATCCCACTCGCAGCATCAGGTTGCGCATCACCACCGCCACTTGGGCCACACCGAATCCAGTTTTCGAAGAGCCCTAAAAATGGTAAATTGATTGGTCATTGAAAATAAACTCTTAGTAGATTTACAATGCAAATTATTGAGTTAGAATATTAAGTAATGAATTTTCTTTAAAAGATACTTATTGTATGTTGTGTATCTCTTAAGTGAAAAATATATTTATCATATAATAATACAATACATTTATATTAGCAAATAAATATTCAAAAATATGTTGAAATATGTGTTTTTAACAAATTTTTGATCTCGAAAAGGCTAACAAATAGATACAACAAGTAAATAGATCGATAAAGCCAACATTAATAATAAATACAAAATATTTATGATAATAATGTGGCGTAAGCACAGAATTGCACAAAAAAAAAAATTAAAAAATTTGTTATTAAGTAGTTTAATTTTAAATACTAATTCTCAAGGCAAAAAATATTTAATGGAATGAGAGTACTTACCTGAGACCATCCATAGCCTGGCAGACTGGGCGCAATCACCTCGAAGACGTAGTCGCTCTTTTCGTTCGGCGTGGTCAGCAGGGGAATGAAGTCGTAGAATTCGCGGACGGTTCCGGGCCAGCCGTGCATCAAGAGCAGGGGCAGCACCTTCTTGGGCTTCTGGCCCTTCACCTGGGCGGGCTTGGCATGAATAAAGTGAATTTTCAAACTGCGAAAAGAGGAAAGCGTTTGGAGTCAAGTCTCGGGGTTAATGTGCAAATGCAACTAATTATGCATGGGGGCAATGGATTGGCATTAGAGTTCCGCTACTAACCCCTGAATCTCCGTTTGGTAGTGATCCAGCTTCTTGAGGTACTGCTCGCGGTCGCTCCACTTGGCCAAATAGGTATCACGCCAGTATTTCACCACCTTGGCCAACTCGTTGGCATTGAAACCGTATTCGAATCCCACACCCTCCAGCGGCGCCTGGGCCTTCGAAGGACGACTAAGCTGGTTCTTCAGATCCTCAATTACCTGGGCAATTGAAAGGATAAGGATTATTAGAAAAAGGTGTAAGTAGAAATATCTTAATGATTCTGTTATAAAATAATATATGAACCTATAAAAAAGGTCATTTTATATCTTTTCTTGATTACATTTTATTAAATCGTATATAATTACAATTTCATTGTATCACTTCATTTGAAGCAAACATATTTCAAAACTTGGGCAATACCTGCATCATTAAATATCATGATGATATTTTGGTTATAAGACCCATATTGACAAGGAAGAGTACAAAACGAACAAGCTGTATTGTACGTACATACATATGTACATATGTATCTGGTAAACATGTTTATATGATTTTTTGCTATACTCGAATCTTACCTCTGGCTTAACGCTGATGTCGTAGGGCAGGATGGCCTTGTTCTCTCGATAGGGTTCCTTTAACGCTGGACCCCAGTAGGCATTGTTGTCCAGATCGGGTCTCTTGCCGGGCGCCGAAAGGTCGCGATAGTTCTTATAGCCGACGGCCGCCAGTATGGCCAGGCCTCCGATCAGGATCCGCACCCAGACGTTCGCCATTGTGTCACTACTATATTCTATATATATATACTATACATATATATTTGGGAGCAACAACTGCACAGCTGCTTGTATGCGATCACCAAGCACAAATGATTTTAAATTGACAAACAACCGGCAAACGAAAGCTTTTGCCGGCTTGTCGATCGCAAGTGGATCGCAATTGGATCGTATGTCCAGCTGCACTGCAATGTGAGCATGATAAGGCAAATAATGCTAGAGAGAGAGAGAGAGCTTTTGCACACAAATTGAAGAAGAGCAAGTCATGAAACATAGCTTTAATGTTAGTAATGAAGATGATCATGCAGTTGCGTTTATCAGTTGGTCAAAGCTGCAAAGGCGTAGAACTAAATTGGGGAGAAGCGATTCATGCTTAGAATGTAAATAAATAATTTTGGTTGAGCTGAATACAAATAAATAAAATAATGATGAACGCGAATTTCAATTATCAACACGCGACAGCTTCGATACAAGTCAAAAGACAATCAATCGCATTTATGAAATGACAGTAAATAAGGTACATTTCAAATCAATTGTTTACAACATAAATACACTTTGGCTGTCTTATCGTAATCTCGATACGAGACCTTTGGAATTCTTATTTTATATCACAAACAATTAGTGAGGGTATTAGGCTCCACTTTTTACCAGTCAATTGCTTGCATGTTATACCTGTTACTCGTAAGGTAAAAGGGTATATTGTATTCGTTGAAAAGTCTTTAACAGGTAAAAGGAAGCGATTCCGACCAAATAAAGTATAAATGTATATTCTCGTAAACTATTAAAACTAAATATTGGGACTTGGCACACAGATTCTAGTAGTTCCTACTCAGCGCAAGTTTTTTTTTAACGGAGTCACGCCCACTCTAACGCCCACAAATCGTGAAAGTATGAACTGTCACTCTGAGACATATTAAACCGTAGGTGTTGGAATTTTTTTTTTGTGTTTCGGTCTTTTCTATTATCAGTAGAAAAAAAAAAAACAAAAAAAAATTCATCTTATATTTTAGAAGTTATACGGTTTTGGAGTCCTCTGCCTCGGAATGTTCTGTAGGGAGAATACTTAGTTTGAAGTTTATTGGCTGAGTAAGGGGTATCTAATAGTCGGGAAACTTGACTATTGCGTTCCCACTTGTTTTTTTTTTAAGACATGCATTTCAAAATGAGAAATAAAATGTTTAAAATATTTCGTTTAAACTACGTCACTATGGACGGCTGCAAATGTAGTGACGATGCGCACGATACTAAATATAGCCGCAGATTGGAAAATTTGCTGTCATTTAAATAAAAAAACAATTTAGCTACAAAAAATCAATATAGATTTTATGGCCAATTTGTATTGATCTTTCGTTGCATGTTTAATTTTAAAGAAATTTACATCACGACATTAGAACTACAAAGTAATAGGTGCCTAGTTTAAACAGCACGTCAATATACATATATTATATATCAGGTCTGGTTAAACCACAGTACAAAGATGGAGCGTTTGTAATAGGAAACAGTTTATTTCTTCTCCTCATCATGGAGACCAATCTTGGCGGCAAAGGCGGTGAAGTCGTTGTACAACATGGCCGGCATCTCCAGGGCGGCGAAGTGGCTGCCCTGCTGGAAGTACATGGAGTGCTTAAGGTTGGGGAACTTGTCCCGCAGCTGCCAGTCGGTCACCGAGGGCAGGTCGAACCGGAAGCGGGCACAGCCCATGGGAACCGGGGACTGCACGCGGTCCAGCTGCAGATCCCTGTACGTCTTGGACACGTTCTCCAGATAGAAACGGGCCGCCGTGGTGGCCGAATTGGTCAGGTAGTAGACCATCAGGTTGTCCAACACCGCCTCCAGACCGAAGACCGTGACTATGGCGCCAAAGTCCTGCTGCAGGCCGGGATTCGTGCAGGTCTGGAACTTCTCCAGGATGTAGGAGGCCAGGCCGACGGGACTGGAGGTCAGGGCCGCTCCAATTGTGTCCGGCTTGGTGGCCTGGATGTGGAAGTAGCCGCTCTCCTTCAGCAGCATCAGCCACTTGTCCCACACGGGAAAGTGGTGGTCTACAAAGAATCTGGAGGGCAGGTACTTCTCCGGGTAGAAGCTGCCGTAGATTCCCTTGATAATGGCCAGTGGCGAGTGCAGGACGCACATGTTCGAGTGGTAGCCAATCACGTTCTCCGGATAGAGAGTGGCCAGGTTGCTGCCAATGATGCTGCCCCAATCTCCTCCCTGGACGAAGAACTTCTTGTGGCCCAGACGGAGCATCAGGTTCCTCATCACGGTGGCCATCTCGGCGGCATTAAATCCGGGTCGGGTAGCAGCCTACGGTAAAGATTTTGTTATCAGTGGTATTCAAAGATTGTCATGTGGTTGATAAGCTTTTTGGTCTTTACTATTACCGTTTGACCAAAGCTTTGGATCAGTTTAAATGTTTCCCTCACAGTTACTCACATCAGACCATCCGTAGCCCACCAGCGAAGGAGCCACCACCTCGAAAGCAAAGTCCGAGATGTTTTGGTCCTTGGTGAGCATGGGTATGAAATCGTAGAACTCGCGCACCGATCCTGGCCAGCCGTGGAGCAGCAGCAGCGGATACACGTGCTTCCTGGCCTTGGCTTCCTCAGAGGCCTGCTCGTGAATGAAGTGGATGTTCAATCTGCAGGAGAATCAGGTCATTGGTATGCCATTCGAATATATAAACAAAGGCTCTTCCACCCACCCCTGGATTTCGGTCTTGTACTGCTTGAACGAATTGAACAGCTCCTGGCGCTCGTCCCACTTGGTCAAGTACTTGTCCCGCCAGTAGTCCACAAACTGCTCCAGCGCATAGGTGTTGAAACCGTACTCGAAGGCGATCCCGTCCAGCGGATCGGTGAGTTTCAGGGTGCGGTTGAGTTCCTTGCGCAGCTCATCGATCTCCTCCTGCGGCACTTGCAGCTTGAACTCGTAGATCTTCTCGTCGGGCACAAAGTCCTTGCCGTCGCCAGGACCCCAGTAGGTGTTGTCCTTGAACTCGGGCTTGGGCAGTGGTTTGGTCAAATCCGTAAACACCACGTAGCCGTAGCCCACGAAGGCACCGAACAGGGCCACAATCAGCCCGAACACTATCAGGCACTTCATTCTGGCCGCTGCCGCAATTAGCTTCCGTTCGTTGTGAATTTAAATGAGTCTCGCACCTCCCACCAGAGATAATGGTTTCTGATCCCAAATCCCAGTCCAAATCCGAAACAAAGACGACCGTGCTCCCAGAAAGCCGCTGAAGAACTGACTGCCATCGCATTTTCTCATTCCCAAATTGTCTCGCAAAGCTCTATCGAAATTCGTTGTCGCCGTTATAGTATACGTTCGTATTATATTTATAAATTCGTTTAGATACCGCTGGCTATCGTGCACAGTGGTGCAAAATGTGCTCATCACCTTGCTCTTTGCTCATTAAACCCATTTGCGGTTATTATGTTTTATTTCAAAGTTCATGTTTTCGGTGCTTATCTTGTTTTGTTTGGGTCAAAACATTGCCATTTAATTACTGCTTTTTGAAGCACGAGCTCATGGGTCAGCCAGATGATTTCATGAAGCACTAAGCTAAATAGTAAAAACTTTTTTGATGTCTTGCATTAGTACTTTCAGAGTTCTGTTTCCTTGGTTAACAGAAACTGCTGTATATATATTTTTTTTAATTCTATGATAATAGGATACTATTACCACTAACCATACCATATGGTTAGTGCTATTACTTAATAAAACTTTCAAGCCATCATTCTACATAAATCTTTAAATCTGTTTATCATACCATATTTCCAATAGTACTCATATTGGATAGGATATTCTAGGTACTAATAATAATTAATAAATATATATAATTATATATTTATTTTTTCCAAAATTCGAAATAATATGTATTTTCGGATCATGGTTTTATTATACTTCTAAAAATGTTGGTTGCTTTGGTTTCATCTCTTTTATTCTGTAAAACTTTTCCTGCCACATCTCATCCAGAAATTAAACATTTCATAATAATTCTTATCAGTTTTTATAATGACTCGAGACCAAGGTGCGCTTTCGGGTTAGACTGGGCTACATACCCACGTCTGCACCTTGAATGGCCATCGATTTCGGAGCGAGATAGGCTGACCCACACATGAGTATGTGAGACAAGAGTGAGGGTGACTTGGGAATAGTCGCAGCTACTTAAAGGCAACGTTTATCTTATCGGGGCTCTCTCGGAACTTGTTTATTGGTAAGCGGTCCGCCGGCAACTGATCGTAAATCTAAGCCCTTCTGCCACTGATGATGTGGCTCCAAACAAAAAGCGAAAAATGAATGAACTCGGTTGATCAGAAGGCCACGTGGCTACTATCACTTTGTAAATAGAATCCTAGACCCCATCACTAAATTCACAGCCCCCGCAATGGCCCATCAGAGCAAAATCCTTTGGCTGTTTTCTGAAGATGGCCCTCACCTGCAGTACCATGTGATCATCGATGAGCCCATGGCCGCCTATCTCAAGGATAAATATGCTAAGGCAATTGGCGTGCACCCTAGTTCCCTGATCCTGGTCTTTGATGGTAAACCAATTCAGGATCAGGACACCTTCGACTCTTTGGCCATGGACGAAGATGATATCATAGACGTTTTAGTGTCCTGATGCCATGAAAACATGTTTGTTTATTTTTGATTCACGTAATTGCAGAGCAGAGTCAATGAACTAAGCTACCGCATGTACTTGGCAAGCACAGTGAGAAATTGATTAGGCCGTTTGATGAAAAACATAAGTAAATAATGCCTGCTTGTAATATTTAAAAGTCGGAAATTAATTGTTAAAAAAATGTAGGTTTTCTTTAATAAATATTTAAATATTTTGTTATACTAATAATAACAACATTAAACAAAGTATGAAATTACAGCAGTTTTCTTTCTATGTCCGGGTATAATTTCTGTAAATTGTCAGCAAACTATAATGCTGTCGACATGCAACTATGGAAGGATTTGGGCGGCGGGGGTCTCGAAAAATCCACAAAAGTGCCGCCAAACATGCAAGACACCGAAAAAGGAGGCGTGGTCGCCGTGGCAAAAACAATGATGTGAAAGGTAATTCGAGTGAAATTAACGCAATTACCATGCCGCAGTCAAAGGACTCAAATTCACTTCCGATGCACTGCAGCTGAAAAAAGTAAAGTTTGTTCGCGTGCCGCAAACAAATCGCATTGATACTTGGAAGCGTGTCAAAGCTGCCACCTCCGGGGGCAATAGAGAAGTCTCTGTTCCGGGGCCCAATCGCAGCCCATTAATGCCGGCTCTGCCAGGCTAATTCCCATTTTATTGAGTGCTCCAGTTAGGGCTAAAGTTTGGCACCACGGCTGCCCATGGCAACCCACCTCCCACCCCGAGGGGGCGTGGTCTTAATGGCCGCAATTAGCTTTTCATCCAGCTGACACGCACTTGTCGTAAAAGTACATTGAACCTTTGGCTAAATTGATTTTCGTTCGGGCAGGCCAGGCAAAGTGATTCATTTTGTTTTACATATTAAATATACACTATTTTTAACAAAAGGCCCAGAAAAAGTATGCCAAATCGACCGGGTGAACGTTGGTTTGTCATAACCACCTTGGCCTCGTGGAACTTAGTGAGCGGTTTCGGGTTTTACGCCTACATTCTGGATTGCTACTGTTAGTTAGACCATGCTCTACCAAATAATTGATATTCATTGTTTACTTCAGTTAATTATCCACCCGAACACGAGAAAAGGCAGTTCAAATATCACACATTTTCCGGGAGAATTAACCAAGATATTGTTATCGGAATTACTGTGGTTATGTTTTTCCAGATATTATCCACGATATTGCTGTGCCTGGCATTAAATGAGGTGAAACTTGTGCTATAACCAAATAATCTATAATTATTAATTACGTTTCAGACCAGGCGAAAATGTTTTATTTACGGAATTTTTATTAGCATGGCTTTTCCGTGCGCCTGTCTTCCGGTTTGGCCTTTGGCTGGTAAGTTTTCCATTGCTTTACAATGATAATCCTGTCCTTCAGTTTTTATTTTTAACAGTGACACATGTCTCCATTGCTTTGGTAGCCCTTAGTTACTACTTCGATTAAATTAAAATGTTCTTTGATTTACAACCAACTATTTAAAGGTTAAAACTCGAGTACGATTTGATGAAGCAAACAATTAAAGATGGACTTGTATTTCAGATTCTCTATTGTCATCAGCCTGAAATCATGCTACATAAATGTATTTTCGTGGTCATTGTACGTATAGTTTTTTCAGTGACTTACATATTTTTAAACAAAAGCTGTACTTGCAAAAATGAACACTATCAGTCATAAAATGATTATGAAAGTTAAATTTAATACTTTTAATTTTTGTTTTTTTTCTATTATTTGCCAATTTGCCCCAAGCTCAGTTTTACATCATCCCAAAAGTATGTTACAATTATGACTTTTGTACCATTACTGATAAGCAGCAAGTGGTAATTATAGTATAATCTTTGAATTATTTATATATATAAAAAGAATTATTGAATATAAGACGTATGAAAGATCCCCAAACTTTCAGTTTTCCTGGGCATCATACGTCCAAGGAAATTCTTCCTTTTCCGGTGGTCCTTCCCCTTTTATTCCGATTTCAAGCTCCTGATCATCGGCTGATGATTGGCAAGTGACGTGTCCCAACTGTAAATAAAACACGTTTTTTAAAGATTTTTTATATACATTTTTTCAGTGCCCTTTACTCACCCAGAAGACCATCAGAATGGCCAAAGTGTTAATAAATATCGATTGTATCAACATTTCTCTTTGCTGCCTTGTCTGTCGACTGCTATTGGGAAACTGTTTTCGTGTTTACATATGCCCTCTGCTTTAAATCAATTAATGCGTATTAAATATTTATGTTTGTATTTTCGATTGTTTACATACAACGCTCTTTATCTGCCGCTGTTGCTGATGCGACAATTTCAATTTAATCCACAGCACAGTGAAAAGTTCAATCATAAAATACAACTTTGGAAATAAAAACAAAAATAAACAGGAACTGTATAAATTAGTATTCGCCTGAATCCTTAAAAATACACTTACTATATAGTTGTCAATATTAATGCGAAGTTGAAATTAAAATCTGTTGGGAATCTGCTGTAGAATTAAACATGTAGAACTCTTTCGAATTTTGATTTAGCGCGTTGCAGGGATTTACTATTCGGGGCTTTAACTGCTTTCTGCTTTAAAATTAGTCTTGCCTTTAAGACCTTTATATATACTGTTGAAATAATTTTCAGGGGGAAATACATCAATTTACCCGAGAAGAGAAACAAAGTGAGCTCGAGGACCTCATGCTAAACAAAAACACCCAAAATATATTAAATTGTCCACTATTTAAGTAATCATTTAAGGTAATCATAATATTAGTAATCTACAAAAATATAATTATTTAATTTTTACGAGTACATAGCAGATTTCATTAATATTTAGATAATAACTCAGCACGCTTCATAAGAATGTTGTTATGTTGTTTATAAAATATGTACGGGATAAAGAACCTTTGTTTTTTTTTCTGATGAGGGCGCGTTGGGGTTTCCCTTTAGGTGACCTGCAATCGGTTACAATTATGAGAGAATTATCACCACAAGGTGACGTTCTAGTGTAATACATATATCAGATAACTAAGTATATAAGATTGCATCGGGGATTTCTTTCAGGCTGGCAATCGGCCTATAAAAGAGCTTCAAAACTACAGCAGAATTATCAGTCAACAGACTCAAGTCTTCTCATCGAGATCAGCCGAAATGCAGTCTACCATTATCTTCGCCATGCTGTGCTGCGCATTCGGCGCTGCTTTGGCTCATCCGAATCCCGAGGATCTGACCATGAAGCCCACCCCACCACCTCAGTATCCTCTCAATCTGCAGGGCGGAGGTGGAGGTGCCCGAGGCGATGGATTCGGCTTCAATGTTGGGGGTCGACAGAATGTCTGGACCAGCGACAACGGACGCCACGAGATCGATTTGACCGGAAGATATGGCCAGCACTTGGGCGGACCTTATGGAAACTCACCAGCCAGCTATGATTTAGGAGGCGTCTACCGCTTCAGATTCTAGAAGATTTGGCGAAACATATTATCAACTATAAACATACGAATACCTGCCCATAATTCGCTATCTAAACTGTCATCAAATAAGTTTTTGCTTAAAAAAAAAATATTCATACTTTTGAGAAATATATTACCAAATACAACCAAACGTATACCTGACCATAATTTCCCTATCTCAATTGCCATCAATGTCCTTGGCGCTGTGTGTTTACCCCGGAACATTCAGGCAGACTTCTAGAGACAGAGGTTGGGTCACAGATGATCTTGCAGTTTGGCTAATTGTTGATACATCTTGTTTGGCCAACTCCGTTGGGTAATAACAAATTACGATGACAGGCGGTCTTAATGAAACCTGCCAAGACAAAACGTTTTTTGCTAATTGGATTTATTGCGTAAACTGTCGAAAGAACCTTCGATGGAAATTTATCATGCCGCTGGCGCATCATCCGCAACATCCGCAGCCTAACCCGAAGATTAAAATATTACGCCATCCCCAACGAAAGCGAATGAATGGCTAACAAATAATTCATGAAGAGGCTGTATTCTAAACTCTTTTACATACAAATTGGGGGATTACCAAATGTTTTTCACATCATTAATTTGACCTAAGGAAAGCCAAATTGAGTTGACCTTGCAAAATGATGAATCGATTTGGGAAACTGAGTTCTTGCCTGGGGAAGTGAAACCTGTGGGTTGATTATTTTTATTTTTTTTTTTAGGTACTAAGGTTTTGTCGAAAGTTTTGTGTCCGAGATTCTTTTTAATGGGAACCCGAAGGTGGAATAGTGATTAAAAGTGATTAAAAGCCAGAAGATGAGCTCGTGATATGTGCTCCCGAAATAGTGCTACAGAAGCTTAAAATTTATTGTCTGCATTTAAAACTGGGTCATAAAAAAGAAAGTATCTGCAAGAAAGATATGACTAGAATTTGCTAGTTATCTAGCATAATGAAAAACAAGATACGAAGTTAATTGCAAATATAATAAATGTACCAAATATATAATTGCTTTGAACCTAATAAAATTATGAAATTTCTTAACGCTATTTATTCAAGAAGATAATTCTTGTAAAAAGTTATAATTGTCGATAGAATAAATGTGCCAAAAGATAGAATTATTCTTTTTAACCTAACAAAAATAGGTTATTTCTTAGCGCTATTTATTCAAGAAGAAAGTACTTAGAAATAGTAGACACAAATGCTTCTTAAAAAGTGATGACGATATAATATATGCATGCATGTGCTTTTTTCTCCACGAATGTCACATTTATGAAGTGTACTTAGATGTAATAAGTTGAGTACTCCCCCTTTAAGCGCATTTAGGCGATTATTAACACAGCTGCCACTCATGAATGACTTTTAAAGCCAAATACCTCTGCATTCATTGTTTCTGGTTGGGATTCACTCTGTCGTCTGCCTCTGTTTGTAGAGCCTACACATACTTCTTATCAAAAAGATGTGGGGATCCACTAGTGAACCACTGGATCGGTGTCGTCTAGAATGGGATTCCCTGTTGGGGGATTCATCTGTCAAGACTGATAAGCGACCGATCTGAGGTATATAAGACCTGAGTTCGATTCCAACCGTATTCAGTTGACAAAGTCTAACCAAAAGCAAAATGCAATTCGCCTCCAGTTTTCTCCTCTTGGCTTGTGCCTGTGCCTGTGCCTTCTCCAGTGCCTTGGCCTATCCTTATCCTGATCCCCGAGATATTGTGAACCTGACCCCTGAACCCTTGGCGGTAAGTTGCTAAAGAAAAATGTATATAGCTTAAGGTTTAAGCTAGTCTATTTTCCAGTACTCCCCCAATTTCGACGTTGTACCCTTGCAAAGAGTGCGTCGCCAGTTCCAATTAAACGGCGGTGGCGGTGGAAGCTCCAAACAGGGATTCGATCTGAACCTCAACGCCCGTGCCCCAGTTTGGCAGAGCCAGAATGGACGCCACTCCCTTGACGCCACGGGATCGTATGCTCAGCACCTTGGAGGACCCTATGGCAACAGTCGACCTCAATTCGGAGCCGGAGGAGTGTACACCTTTAGGTTCTGATTAGTTTTCATTTCATAATATTTATTTAGAATAAATAAAAAATCATACTTTGAAAACAAATTGAATCGTTTGTTTTTTTTTACCTTTTTTATGTTATCTCACTTATATAGTTACTCTCCTTTTCACGTTTAATACTAAAACAGTATTTAACAAAAAAAAAACGAAATATGTTGTTTTTGCAACTTATCGTTACAAAATTAAGTTTCAAAAAAAGTTCAGCAATCTTTTAAAAATAATATGTTTTTTTCGAATTCTAGGCCGAAAAGGTTTTATTTATTAAAATAGTAAATGTTAATTTCAAAATTCTGTTTTGGCCTAACTTGATAAATTTTGCACTTGCTAAGAATTTCTATGCCCAATTCAAGATAAACGGCTTAGACGTAAACGTTTTTTAAATAGAAAGTACAAAACACAAAGAAGGACGCAAACTTCAACAAGCAAAAATTTGTATAGCCTTGCAGCTATTGCAAAAATTAAATATTCTTCAAAACAACTTTTTTTGGATTCGTATATGTTTAAAAACAGTGAAACTATGATGATTTTTTGCGGAGTTATTCGATCATTTGTATGGCATCTATATGATTTCGCTGTCCGATTTTAACAGAATTAAAACTATAAAATTATGAGCCACTACTATATTTAAAAGTATATTAAACAAGAAAGAAAGCAAACTTCGGCAAGCCGAAGTTCATATACCCTTGCAGCTATTGCATGAATTAAATACTTTTGAAAACATTTAAATTATGATTTACTTGAGTATATGCTGAAAAACATTGAAACTATGATGATTTGCAGCTCAATTATTAGATAGTTATTTTATATATTTGTATTATTTCTATGGGAGCTATATGATATACACGTCCGATTTTGATAAAATTTAAACCATAATTCTGAAACAATTAAACATTGCCATATGTCGAAGAACTAAACAAAAAATTAAAAAACAAAAAAGTTATAATTTTTTTTCATTTATTTTTCCGATTGTTCCTATGGGAGCTATATGCTAAAGTCGTCCGAAGACCGTCGAAGACCTAAACAAAAAATTAAAAAACAGCAAAGTTATAATTTTTTTTCATTATTTTTTCCGATTGTTCCTATGGGAGCTATATGCTAGCTTTAAAACTGAGAGACTAGTTTGCGTAGAAACGGACGGACAGACGGACATGGCTAGATCGACTCTCCTAGTGATGCTGATCAAGAATATATATACTTTATAGGGTCGGAGATGTCTCCTTCACTGCGTTGCAAACTTCTGACTGAAATTATAATACCCTCTGCAAGGGTATAAATAATAAAAAAAAAAAAATAGCTAAGACGGCTCGTCTCAGCTTATATACTACCTGCAAAATGAAATTATAATACCTTCGGCAAAGATATACAAATTTAATTGAGTGTTTATTAATATGAATTTATTTTCTGATCCTCAGGCTTTTATACTTTAGATCAAAGCATATTGTTAAATACACACACAGCTCTAATTCCAACATAATTTTTCGGCAAAACCAAAAAGTCAAATAAGTTTTTAAAATTACCCAATCAATTAAAAAAATGGGTACTGTGAATATTTTATTAAATAAATAATACATTATAAAATAAAAAATTTTATATGATTTAAAAGTAAATGACTCATCTGAGTATGTAGGTATGTATTTATATTATTTATTAATGAAGAATATAAAATATTTATGTGCTTAACTGCCCCAGGGCATCTCCTTATCAGTCTGATTTGTAACGCTTGTGGCAGGCACATCGATGGGCAGTGCCATCTATGAGGCAAAAACCGAAAGTGTCGCCATCTAGTGGTCAGTTGGGTGCCGCGATTGGGGTAAGAATTTTCGGAGACGAAGAGGCAACAGAGTCAATTGTCATGATCCCGGAAAACGGAGAGTTATTTTTTGGGGGCTAACTTAGCTTCCCGCCCAGAGCCACGAGCTGCTGGCTTTCTTTCCCTTTTCGGCAGCCATCGAGTGCGGTTTAGGTCAGTTGTAAGTCTCGTATTTAATTAGTTGGTGAAAGTTTGTTTGAAAATTATATCTCTATAGTGGCCTTGTGTAAAGTGACGGATAGAATATCCAGATTATATATATAGCGCTAAATCCTGTTTATGGGTAAGAAAAAATGAAATGGTTGCTAAGATTGTAGACACAAAGGTGATTTTTGATTTAGGTTTGGCGCTTAGTATCCGATATTGGATCCGGCCGTTGCTGTAGAGGGAACAATTCATCAAGTCCCCCTAAAGAAGAGCGAAGTCATCCGACGGAGAAGGGAAATTATCGTCGCATAAAGGGTCTCAAAGGCCTAAGAGTTCCCTAAGATAATTATTTAATCAGCTTAAGTCGCTGGGAGCGGAGTTAGGACTAAGAGAGGGCATAAGAGTCAAAAAGAACTCGAGATGTAACACCTGCCCAAATTACACATAATATTTATATTCCCTCTTCATCATCTTCGTTATCTCCCGCCTGCGAGCGAAACTTAGCGAAGCTCAGTTTGACAGGCAGTTTTTCGGCGCGCTGATCTAGTTTAGACGTTTCGGTCCACGCTCGGACGAAAATTTAATTTAACTCGTCGAACAACAATGCGGAATAATTGTTAAGTCGCCGCACGGAATGTAAGGCAGTTCGGAAAGCCAGAGATCGGTCGGAGTTCGCTGAAAGTGGATAGGTTATAAGCTATTTCATAAGTTTTTTTTCCTCTTTTTTTTTGCGGTCTAGGTTATGTGAAATAAGCAGTGAGAGTGGAAAAGTAAGAAAAAAGAAGGGAAAGAAGAGAAAAGTGCAGTGATGGTTAGAAGGCCAGAAAGGCTTTAATAATGAATAACTAGAAGCACGAATTGCTTTAGGCATAATTTATTTTAATTTTTTTTGGGTGGACAAACAAGCCAATGTGTTAAAAAAAAAAAAAAAAAGAAGGAAAGAGCTGCAACAAGAAAAAAAGAAGAGAAAAATTTTGCGGTTGTTTTGCACAGTGGGCTTGCAGTGTGTATATGAAGAAATTTAAATTTTCAGCCTAAGGTGCACTTACGGAAGCGCTTTCGTCGGTGGATCTCCGGAATGTTGGTGAGTCAGATATCACGTTTTATTAATATGTCTTTGTAAAATATATATATCAAATGAATTACTTTGCGTCCCACCGTACAAAACCTAGCAGTTCGAATAATCCATAAAGGAGAAGAAAAAAAGGAGCGGATTTACCATCTCTCTTGTCTCTCGAATTTTTGAGCGAGATGAATTTCGAAATAAGTAAAACAAACCACTCAATTTGAATTCGCCGTGCACTCTTCACTGCAATTTTCTGCCATTTCCGTATTCTCGCTCTCGAATAATATTTTTTTTGATTTTTAAATTCGTATTGCTATCTTACTGCAAAGATTAATTTAATAATTCAATTGTATTGCATGCATTTATGTTCTCATTTAATATCTTTTCAATATGTTCTCTAATTTTAAGAATTTTATTTAGGTTTTAAATACATTTTATAATGATTAGCTAAATTGCATTTTTGTTTGCCTTCGACTAGGATGAGTCCCCGCTAGAACCCGAATCAGTAGAAGGGGCCGTTCGATAGTATGATGGGAAGTTTTCGGTAAAGAACGGCCAAGGCAGGGAAGGCAAATTTGGTTCCGTTAGAACACCCGAGGAACTTTAGGAATTCCATGAGTAAAATAACTATCCCTCTTCGTGCTGGCGCGGATTCACATGATTTCTCCTACCCCATACCACTTGTCGCTGCACGCGAAAATTCGATAAAATTTTAGAATTTACTGGCTCGTGACGAAGGACAAGATCACCACCCCAAATAGCCGACAAGGAGCAGCTGGACCATCGCGCGTGCGTCCTTATCGTCATGCAACAACACCCTAGCCACGTACTCGTTACAGTAATAATAATATAATTCTATTAATCTGGCGCCCAACAGTGTAGGCCAAAAATCAGGGTTTAAGATGTGAAAAAAAATGAAAAACAAAATTTTACTCTAAGAATCCCGCTCACACAAGAAAAAAACTTTAATTTTCATCTAGTTGGTAATGCAGTATCACAGTGGGTTGAAAGATGTGTTTACATCCCAGCCACGGTTGCTGCGGTACTCATGCCAAATATCTCGTCTCTAGTCTTACCTTAATTTCGATATTAGGCGCATAGGACATATAGTTGAATATGTTGTACGCAAGCGTTCAACTAGCCACGGCTGATGTTGAAAGTAAGAGTGGGGCAAATCTATTCTATTTACTTTTTTTCGGGACCTAAAGCAAGGGTTAATTAGACGCTTGGACATGCAGGTGGTAAACTTATCAATAAGTTTTCACCTGACCACGGATAATGGGCCGGCGCTGAGGACCCATCTATCAAATTTCATGCAATCGCCATCGCGTCTGTCAGGTGCATTGGATAGACAGCCGAAATCTTTAGAAAGAGGTCGACTGGCCACGGTTGACAGCGGAAAACGTAGGCCAGATTGCAAAACAAGAGAGAATTGGAAGAGAACCGATCAGCTCTCTTATAGTTGTTGTTTTAGTGAATCTGAGTTTGGCAATAGTCGAAGGGCTAGCCACGTAGCTCTGCATAGGCAGCAATTATATTATTTTTTTCATCTTCTTTTACTCACGGATTCCGAGTTAAACTGCTGATGAGGGTTTGGCAGGGAGAACTCCTATGTTTGAAGGCAAACTGTTTATACATTTCTATCGTGTTTTTGATTTTTCTTACAATTTTTTTTAGCTTACTTAATACTGGTACTCTCTCATTTATTTGTTCCTTTCCTCTCATTTCTGACTTAGACCCGAGTTTCTCTTGAGTGATTTTAGAAATTGAGTGTCTTTAAGAATTGAGCGTAGAAAATAAAACAAATCAGCTGGTCCGCTTGTTAAGGTCATTGACCGCAGGTGTAGGAAAAAATAAAAGCAAGGAAGGAATGATTAAATGTTAGGGATTTTAGCCGAATATAATTAGTAACTTTAACTTACTCGTTCATTTAGCTGTAAATTAAAAACATATTTTTAGGATTTTAGGTTTCTTATCTTTCTCATTGGTTGAAGATCAGAAAAAAAGGCCAAACAATGAGCG